AGCCAGTTGATTTTTTTTCTAAATGTGCAAAAGCAGTTCAATGGAAGATGAATAATTTTTTCAATAAATGGTGCTGGAGTAGTCGGATATCCACAAACAAAAATGCTTCAACTTAAACCTTACATGTTATATGAAAATTAACTTAAAATGGTTAGTACATTTAAATGTAAAACTATAAACATTTTGAAGATAACATCAGAAAATCTTTAGTACCTAGGGCTTGGTGAAGATGTCTTAAAGAAGACACCAAAAGTATTATTCTTAAAACAGTGATAAATTAGACTTTATCAAAATTAGAACTTTTGCTCTATGAAGACCTTATTAAGAAAATTAAAAAGACAAGCTACAGACTAGGAGAAAATATTTGCAAACCATATATCTGACAGAAGACTCATATGTAGAATACATAAAGAACTTTCAAAAATCAATATAAAAAACAAATAATCCAATTAAAAATGGGCAAAGACATGAAGAGAAATTTCACTGATGAGAGTATATTATGGCAAATGAGTGCATGAAAAGGTATTTAATATCACTAACCATTAGGGAAATACAAATTTAGATAATGATGAGATATTACTCCACACCTCTTAGAATAGCTGAAATAAGGAATAGTAACAATACTAAATCAACATTTGGCAAGGATGTGGAGAAAGTGTATCTCTCATATATTGCTGGTGGGAATATAAAATGGTATAGACACTTGACAACAGTTCGGCAGTTTCTTAAAAAATTCTAAACATATACATTTTCCATACAATCCAGCAATCGTATTCCTGGGCATCTATTAAATATTCATTGGAAATTTATGTTTACACAAAAACCTGTACACAATTGTTCATAGAAGCTTTATTTGTAACAGCCCCAAACTAGAAACAACCAAAATGTCCCTTGATAGGTGATGGTTAAACAAACTGTGGTACATCCATACCGTGAAATGTTACTCAGTAATAGTAAGGAATGCACACACACAACTTGGATCTCAAGGACATTACAGTGAATGAAAAAAGTCAGTCTCAAGAGATACATACTACGTAATTCCCTTTATATAACATTCTAGAGATGACAGAGTTATAGAGATGGAAAAACAGATTAGTGGCTTCCAGGGGTTAGGGTTGGCGTTGAGGAGGGAATATGAGTACAATTCTAAAGGAATAGCATGAGGGAGATGTTTGTGGTGGTGGAATATTTCTGCTTGATTGTGGTGGTGGTTATATGAGTCTATACATGTAATAAAACAGAAAAAGCCCAGCAAAAACTTGCTTTCAGATAAGTCTATCTCTGGGATGATGGTGTAAATTGAACCATAGAGTTTGTCCCACCTGGAGAAAAGAAATAGGAGCATACCGTGGAGATATTGCAGGTTTGATTCCAGACTACCACAATAAAGGGAATATTGCAGTAAAAAATTGATATAGAACTATACACGCTCATTGTACTAATGTCCAATTCCTGATTATATTAATTATGTAAGATACAACTGGTGGGGAAACTGAATGAAGATTACATGGGTCCTCCCTATACTACCTTTGCAGTTTCCTATTTATAATTATTTCAAAATGAAAGTGAAAAAAAATTGCATGTTTTACTTCAGTGCATCTTATGGTAATCTAAAGAAAACACAGATGCCAAATGTGCTTTTTGGAGAAGTAGTGCCAGTCATTTTAAAAATTATCTTCTATTGAGGTAAAATCACATAACATTAAAATTAACCATTTTAAAGCATACAACTCAGTGGCTTTTAGTACGTTCACAATGTTGGGCGATCATCACCACTATCTAAGTCCAAAACACTTTATCAACCTGAAAGGAGACCTTGTACTTATTAAGCAGTCACTCCCTACTCCCCCTTAACCTGCAATCCCTGGAAAACCACTAACCTACTTACTGTCTGTACTGTGGATTTACCTATTCTGGATGTTTTATATAAGTGGAATCATACCAAATGTGACCTTTTTTGTCTGGCTTCTTAGCATAATGTTTTCAGGGCTCATCCGTGTTGTTGTGTGTGTCAGTACTTCCTTCTTTTTGTGGCTGAATAACATTCTGTTGTAAGGATGTACCACAGTCTGTTTATCTGTTCTTCTGTTGATGGACAGTTAGGTTGTTTCCACCTTTTGGCTATTGTGAATAGTGCTGCTATAGACATGTGGTGGCAGTTTAATACAAGAAAAAAGTTATTTCCAAAGTTCATGGTTTCCTTGTGGAAGGTGTAGAGTCCATGCAGGTTATGTATCATGGGTTGTAACTAGTAACTCTAAAGCTTTTGTAATTTATTTGGGAAAGATGACTTGTCACTGCAGTTTTCCCATTCATTCATCCCAGGTGAATCAGATATTGGAGTGGTTAGAGATAACAGCACAGGCACTGACTGCTTATTTTGGGAGGAACAAATAAGAACGGTCTATGAGATCAGAGACAAAATGTCATCATAATAGCAATCGTAAATTATTAGATGAAAGTCAACATTGTGCTCATCAAGTGATCGAGACATAAATATTTTATTCCTTAAAGGCTTTATAAAAACATAAATTTAGGAGATAAAGTACTTTAACAACAACAAAACAGTATGAACCATGGAGGTGCTTAATCTCTTGGGTCCAGTTTATTTAATATGTGGTCATCTTTGTGTCCTTAAATGCTTCAGAAATTAGATATATAACACTTTAAAGGCAATAAGGTCACTGTTTTATAATCCTAGAATTCAAGAACTCTCCAGAAATGTTTTTAGGCATATCCAAGTAAGTTTATTCTTTCTCTGTACAGAACAAATCCAGCTCTTTCACAGCCTTTCTTCTTGGTTAGCTCTTTCAATTTTAAGCCATTGGTTTTCAACCACACTGCACATTAGAACCACCTGATAACATTTTCTAAAATACCATTGTCTATGCTGCCACCCAGATCAACTGAATCAGAATCTCTAGGGACAAGCCCAAGCACCTTATTTATGTAAAGATCTCAAGTGGTCCTAAGGTGCTGCCAGAGTAAGGGAGTAGTGCTTTAAACCAGTGGTTCTCAAACTTTATGAGCATCAGAATTACCTACAAGGCTTGTTAAAAAGAAGCTGGGTCCCACACTCAGGTTTCTGATTCAGTAGTTCTGGGTAGGAGCTGACACTGACATTTTGCATTATGAACAAGATCCCAGATGGTGCTGATGCTGCCAGCCCAGGATCCAATTTTGAGGATGATGAATTAATCTTGTCCTTTTCACTCAGTGAAGATGAGGGCTGGTCAAAGTCCTCCATATAAATACCCTGAAAATGATTCTTCTCCCTTATTTTAGAGAATTTCCTTTAGCATGGTAAGATAATGGGCCCCATAGTCAGAATGCCTGGTTAAAATGCCACTTGTATATAACTTTGGTCAAGTTCCTTATTTTCTAAAGCCCCAGTTTCTTCATCTGTGAAATGGGTATTATATGCTTGTTTTGAGGGTTAAATTTGATAATATATGTAAAATGATTGACATACAGTACATATATTTGTTAACTTTTCTTGATAGCTTTCATCTTCAACTATTATAACTTTCCTTTGGTCTAATTGGCTATCAAGTTCTGTGCTTCTTATTGGTGTAACAAATAAGGAAATATATGTTAAAAATCAGGAGGATAGTTAATTTGGGAATTCAACCGAGGTTCTCAGAGAACTGACTGAGAGTTTATATATATGTAATGATTAAAAGCTTCATCTCTGGAGTCAGAGAACCCTGGGTTTGAGTTCTGTCCAAAACTTCTCTGTTTTCCTCTGAAAAATGATGGTAATAAAAGTTCCCTACATATTGGGTTATTGTGATTGTAACAGAACAGATAATGCAAGTACAATGATTAGCACAGTCCTGGACATATCTTAGGTATTCAATAAATGTTAACTGTTATTAAACTGAGGGTAATTGATTCCTAACTGCTCCTTTAAATATTAACTCTCCTTTTTCCTCTTTTGAACTGGTGTGTTTTTATAGCTCTTTGAGGTATGTTAGGAAGGAATGTAAATTCTCCAAGGGGAATGCAACTATTGAAAAGAAATTTGTTTACTATTTCCTCAACACTCTTCTAAATGCAAGACCGAAAAGCAGTGAAGATTTACTTTTCAAACACTGAATAACTTCACTATTATTTCCATTGCCAGAATTAAGAGAAAAGCTGTTGAAACTCCTGGTCAATCATTAGTTTCAATTTCAGGCCTTCAGTTGGGCATTTCTGTCAGTGGACAGCCTTACAAAATAGGGCTGCTGCCAGTTCTCTGCTGTGACTTCCTGGCTGGGATGTAGGGAAATCCTTCATACGCTCTTTGGCAGTGTAAGTGCAGAAACCTCTATTTCAAAGGCTTTTTTTTTTTTTTTTTTGTATTTTTTATTTGACTACAGAATGGAAATAATCCCCCAAATACTCTGGACATGATGCAAACTGATCTTGAGGGACTGCAATATAGTCTTTTCCATAGATATAGTGACTGGAGGTATTGTTTTATTCATTTTGCAAGAAAGGGTGACTGACTCTGCTGTTGATAGCAGTAAGTCTTGTTTCCCAAAGTGTGGTACAGATTCCACTGGGGATATGAAATATTTGATGGGTGTTGCATGGACAGATGCTTATTTTAATAATTAGTGTTTATTTTAATATACATTAGGAAAAAGCACACATGCTTATTTTCCCAGATACTCTTGTTTAAGGTAAATCTAAAATACATAGAAAGCTTAAACTTTGAGGTAAGGAAACAGGTAAACAGTAGTATAAGGGGTATGTATGCAGTTTTGATAAATACAGTGAAGGTGAATGTGATACAGATTCAGGAAACATTTTGCAAAACATGCAGGCTGTTTGGTACTTCAGGAGCTAACAGTCCATCTGTATATGTCACAAGTAGAAGGAACATTTACCGATAGAGAATGAAATGGCTATGACAGTCTTTTCCATTTTCCATTTATGTATGGTTGTCTTCTATTCTAGCCTTTCTTTCTTTGCCACAATTGTCCCCTTTAAAGATTTTTACTAAAAGTGAGCGGCAGCAGGAAAGCAGACTAAGATGACAGCAGCAGCTAGGCCAACTTTTGAACCTGCAAGAGGGGGGAGAGGTAAAGGAGAAGGTGATTTGAGCCAACTCTCAAAGCAGTATTCAAGCAGAGACCTACCCTCTCATACAAAGATAAAATATAGACAGACCACTCAGGATGCCCCTGAAGAAGTTCAGAACTGTGACTTCAGGAGAGAGGTGGAAGAGAGAGAGAGAGCTGCTGCAAGAGAAAAAAACAGAGACCGACCAACCCGAGAACATACAACCTCCTCTTCAGTGTCAAAGAAGCCTCTGTTGGACCAGATTCCCGCTGCCAACCTCAATGCAGACGACCCTCTAACAGATGAGGAAGATGAAGATTTTGAAGAGGGGGGGCTTCCCTGGTGGTGCAGTGGTTGAGAGTCCGCCTGCCGATGCAGGGGACACGGGTTCATGCCCCGGTCTGGGAAGATCCCACATTCCGCGGAGCGGCTGGGCCCGTGAGCCATGGCTGCTGAGCCTGCGCGTCCGGAACCTGTGCTCCGCGACGGGAGAGGCCACAACAGTGAGAGGCCCGCGTACCAC